ACCCACATGGCGCAGCAGACCTCTCCTGACTCGCCCACTGCTCCTCTCAGCAGTGTACTTCGGTCAATGTGCCTGTTTTGTTCCCTGCTCTGTCTCTGGTGAATCTTCTCACCACTGCTCCTGCACCTCTGGCCTACACCCCAGTTCTTGTATGCATAAATAAAAAAATCTTTAAAAAAAAAGAAAAGTGAGATTAAGGAGTCATGGGATGGGGCTGAGGTTGGACACTAGGCAGGGAGTTTGCACTACATTATGTCAGTAATGGGATGAGAGTGATGAATTTTACAATTTTAAACAAAGAGCTTTTTTTTTTTTTTTTAAAGATTTATTTATTTATTTATACAAGCACTGGGTACAGTCAGAAGCACGGGAGGGTGAGAGAATTCACCAGAGCCAGAGCGGGGAGCAGAGCAGGCAGAAGGACCAAAGTACACTGCTGAGGGGAGCAGCGGGCGGCAGGAGAGGTCTGCGCGCCATGTGGGACCCTCCTCCGGTGGCCGGGGAGCAGCTGGGGATCGAACCGGCGCCACAGAGGCCGCGGGCAGCTTCGCAACCCAGCGCTCAACCGCTGCGCCACCGGGGAGGCCCTAAACAAAGAGCTTTTTTAAGAAATGTTTAGAATTTCAGTCTACCAAATAAAAAACATTCACTTAACGAAGAACACAAAAGGGAGAGGGAAGCAAAAAGACATTTCTATAAGTAGCAACATAGGAAGGTCTTTAGAGAATAAGACAAAGAGCAGGTCACGCTGCTAAGAACAACAGCTTCTAGGCTGACCTTTCCACCTGGTCCAGGAAGCTCATCCCAAAGGCAGAGGACATGGTGGGCGTGTGCTGGTCTCCTGAGGATTGTTAGGCCTCCAGTTCTGTGATTGTGGAGAGAAGGCCTTCATGGTTGGTCTCCTTGAGTCTGAGATTATTATTCCCATAGCTGATCCATTTTGAAAACTCCTGGGATCTTGCCTAAAGATTCTAGGCAAGGATTTCTTCCAGGGCCAGGATCATATTTTTGTACTCAAGTGTACTCAAAATAATCTTTCAAAGGCTTATTTTTCTCACGCCCAAAACAGATGAATAAAAAGCACCTGCGAAAGATTATTTTGAAGATCAGTTGATAGATACACAGTGCATGAAAATGTCTTGCCCTATGATTTGTGCACACTGCAGATATGCAGTGCTTGTTACTTTCTATTCATTAACTACACAATAGTATGTATGCTGGTCAATGTTTGATAGTGATGGTGACTCCAGAACACATTAATCATCGCATGCACTTATGCATTCAAAATATGATTAAGGAAACTACATGGACCTCAGCCTTTTATTTTGATGGCAATGTCAAATAAGTTTGTGTTTTACCCATCATTTTATTTGAAGTTATAAACTGCTCTCTGCTTGTGACAAGAGGAACCCAGGGTAAGAGCATCATGGTTCTCCATTAATCCTTATACTGGTCATGATTGCACCTGTTTTTTGTTTGTTTGTGTGTGTGTGTGTTTGTGTAGAAGAAGTGGGGTGCAGGCCAGAGGAGCTGGGGGTGAGAAGATTCACCAGGGGCAGAGTGAGGAGCAGAACAGGTGAATTTCCTGAAATATACTGCTGAGGGGAGCAGCAGGTAAGACAGGAGAGGTATGCTGCACCCTGTGTGTTGCTCCCTGGCCAAGGATCAAACTCAGGCCCTAGAGGTGATAGTGTTGAGACTTAACTGCTAGACCACCAGGGAGGACTAACACTATCGATCAATGTGCCCATAAAAAATTCTGGGACAGGAAATACCAGTCAAAATCTACATTTACTTTGGACCCATGACAGGAGAATCTAGCAGCTGCTGTTGGACCACTACGTCTCATTGCAGTTAGACTTGGAGGAAAAAAATAGGTTTGTGAAGAGCTTATATTTGTGCATTTTCCTTTTCATGGGTTATTTTATATAAATCTGATTAAAATTCAGATGATAGAAAGACTCATAAATGGAACGCAGTACAAAGTAAAACTTATTTCTCAGAAAAATTTAGGGTTGATGAGAGTTAATCATCCACTTATTTGTCAGGAATTGTGCTAAGTACATATATTATTTCACTTAATGTTCCCAACAAGTACATGCCATATATATATATATATATATATATATATATATATATATATCCTATTATACATATCCTATCTATCTATCTATCTATCTATCTATCTATCTATCTATCTATCTATCTATCTTATTTTAGAGGATAAGCAAACTGAGTCTGAGCGAAGTTAAATAAAAAGTCTAAGCTTACATACGCTGCCTGCTAAGAAGCAAAGTAGCTAGCTAATTGCTGATCTACTATAGTCAACATATTCAGGGAAATGGTCACATCCCCCTTTGTCAGATGATGAAAAATATATTTTTATTGGTATGAGAAAGAATGTAGGTGGATGTATGTGAAGATAATTTAAAGAAAGATCTAAATTATTACCTAGTATATCTCTACCACAAACAAAGCAGCATGTCATACAAAGGAGAAGTCAAAGAAATACTTGTGCATGAAGATGACTGTGAATATAAGTTAAACAAGAAATTAGATTAGAAATAAACAAGTGGGACAAAGTAATCAGTGGTGGGGCGAGTCTGAATAATGTAACATTTAGGCTGATGGAGTTGCCATGTCCTATGTGTGAGTAGCCCATTTTCCCATACTGTAGGTAGAAAACACTTCCTACTCCATGAACAATGTCTTGATCAGAATTATATCTTATTGCCTAAATTTCCTTCCCTCACTCCAGAGTTCTCTAGAATTGCCTTCAGCAGAAAATCCTTCCAGATATTCCCACAAATCACTTTTCCTTTCTTTGAGGAAAAGAACACTATGTTTTTGTTTTTGTTTTTAAGATTTAATTTATGCATACAAGAACTAGGGTACAGGCCAGAGCTGTGGGCAGTGAAGTGTTCACCAGAGATGGAGTGGGGAACAGAACGGGCAGACTGACTGAAACACTGCTGAGGGGAGCAGTGGGTGAGACAGGAGAGGTCTGCCGCGCCATGTGTGTATCTCCCTGGTGGGGGATCGAACTTGTCCTGCAGTGGCTGCGGACAGCTTCATAGGTTGCATCTTAACCCCTTGCACCAACCAGGGGGGCCCCTGGAGAGAGCACTATGTTTTTGATAGCTTTTAGAAGGTATCACATCTGACCTTTTGTTTTAAACATATTTTCTGTTTTTAAGTCTCCTCAGTATATATATTGGCTATATGTATATACTGACACACATACACATGTATATTTATATTTAATCCCCTACAATCAGTGTTTAGCTGATAGAAAACACCAACATTATTTTTTTACTGAATTTAATAAAGTTGCTACAAATTCTGATTCCATTTCTCTCACAGAAACGTGTAAACAGTTACTGAAGAAAACTAAGAATGGGCATATTCCAGTTTTCCAGCAGCACAAAGATTGTGATTAGTGGGCCTCTCTGGTGGCCTAGGGGTTAAGTCTCAGTGAAGTGGAAAACATCAGGCTGACCTGTTGATTAGATGAAGTTGGGACTTTCAGCATGTAGACTGAAAGTTTGAGGGAACAACTGGTAAGCACTCCCAAGGCCACATGCATGCTGACTCATGCAGCCCAGCCGACAGCACCCCTTGCTATAGTCCGTAAATACTCTGTAACCTAGTTGCTAGGGGCAAAAACTTTGGAGACATCTCTGCTGGGCCTGCCAGTGTAAAGCCCGCTGGCATAAATAACTTCCCTCCTCCTCCCTGAATGATGCCTGCTTCCCTGAGGGAATTTTGCTGTAACATCAGCGCTAACACCAATATGGCCTGAGTTCGATCCTCCCACCAGGGAGCTAACCCACATATGGTGCAGCAGACCTCTCCTGTCTTACCTGCTGCTCCTCTCAGCACTGTATTTCAGTAAATCCTCCTGCTCTGCTCCCCACTCTGTCCCTGGTGGATCCTCCAACCCCTTGAACTTCTGGCCTACACCTCAGTTCTTCTATGCAAAAATAAAAAAATACATATTAAAGAAAAAAAAAAAAGATTGTGATTAGTGGCATTAGCAGCCAGTTCACACGTACTTACCATTACTGTGCTTCTGGAATAAAATTTCCAGCCAGAAATGTCTTGATAGGTGTTCATCTACATGTGTGCTCTGAAAAGAAGAGAAACTGGCCACAAAATAGGTTGGTTCTGAAGATTTGCTGAATTTGGTTAATGAGATTAATGTGGCAGAAACCTTTGCCCCTGGGAATGATGAGGTCCTCAAAGAACACACTCCCTTGATCAGGAGGGAATGCCACTGGCAAGGGCAGATATGTGTTTTATGAACCCTTACATTTATAAAATTCTGTGTATCTTCTTTAAGAAAAAGAATAAAAAATAAAATTAGACCCATAAAGCCCTAAAGATGACAAAACTGTAATGGATTCTGCTGGGAATAGAGATGATTTCCTTTTCTCGGGTTGTGAAACATTTTGAAAGAGAAGCATGAAATAGTTGCTATTTATGCCTTAGACATTCTTTGTAAAGGGGCCATTAAATTTTATTTCTATTCCCTGCTGTTAGCACCATAGACAGAGGTCTAGATGGTGTCTCAACAGGACTGGATCTCTGAGAACCAAAAAATACCCTGTGATCACATTCATCTGCCCTGTGATTAAACTCTGTTTCTTTGTCAAGCAAATTGTACCGCATTTTTTGCTCCAGTGGAGGTGTGATATTCGTTAATGATGTTCACCAAATATTTCCAACATATGATACTAACTAAACTTCCTCACTTCTTGTAATTGAGGGCCTCCCTATGACTAGTCATGGCTGAGGATGTGTGAGGAGAGCTGATGAGTGTCACTTTTGGACTCGAGCACTTCATGAACAGCTCGCGAGTCTTAGGTCTTCCCAGAGTGCCCTTCTCTTGGGTCCTGCTGACTGATGACATCAGAATGTAGCCGCCTTGTCATCCTGCCTGGTGTGAAAAGGCAGAGAACAATGCCCATGTTTGGCTCACAAAGCACTAGAAGCTTAAACTACGACATTCTTATTAGCTTCAAAGGTTATTACCACAAAACAACCTGTCTCTCTAGCGATCCATGTGAGCTACCCAGACCCCATGAAAACAAACTTTTGATATGCCTACTATGTCAGTTGACTTATTGAACAAGTAATTTATTGAACACTACTTTACAACAGACATCCTGTAGGCTCTAGGAACACTGCATTGAACAAAGATGTTGTATTCACATTCCTTATTTCTGAGAGGGTGAGGGGTTGGTCTGCAAGACATTTCCATATGTAACCCAGTCTCTTCAGCAGACGCATTTTGGGTTCAAGTTGTATTTCTGCCAGTAGACTTGAAATGTATTATATCTTACAAGATCTTTTTCCTAAAGACCAGAATAATCTATCGAATTAGGATGTGAAGTTGGCACTACTTGGAGAGAATTTTGATGGATAAGGGGAGGATTGGATCCCATATTTCTTTCTTTTCTTCTGAATACTCCTAGGCTAAAGGTAGTCTAAGCTTCTAGCCAGCTTTGGGTTGGGAAATGAGAAGATCCAGGAAAAGGCCAGGGAAAAGTAGGTATGAGGGATATTTACACTGGATCTGGGCTTTCAAAGAGTGTAGTTAAGGAGACATTGAATATGTTATGGTTGAGTCACCCAGTCCCACCTTCCTTACTAAGAAATGACATAGGGATTTAAGAATATGGTTGTTTATCGACTAAGTATCTCCAGTTTTGCATCTTTTAGAAACTACACCTTAATGAGATCTGCTGATGGAAAGAAACTGAGGTCAAAAACAGCAGCTAATGGGAGTAGTAGGATTTCCTTGGAGAGGTTCTTTGGCTGGTGTTATGACTAGAACGTGAGCTTTATACAAAATCAAGGTAACATTCAAAACTGTAATATAGATTTGTTTTTATGTCCTCGCAACTCACCCAACTCTAAATGGAATAGCATTACTTTTGTGACAAACTGTAATATATTTTATGTCTCATTGTCTTGCACTAGCTGGTGCCAGGAAACCACCCCAATTCCTTTCTGGTTCTTTCTTCTAGCCAGCTATTCTTGGATCGTGATTTAAGTTTCCACCGCTTTGAAGTACTTTCACACCAAAGTCCACCAGACTCTGAGACTGAGTTTGGCCCCTCACCCTAGAAAGCCCCTTTCACGCGTTCTGTCTGGAGACACTCTCTAGAACATCGTTCTTATTATTGCAGTATCTCAGGCAAGTGCCTATAGCCTTGCAGTTTGAGTACAGAACTTTTAAAACTAAGCAGTTTCTTAAAAATATAAATTATTAGCACTTGAAAAGGGAGGGGGAAGAAAATTGTTTAGAAGATGGACATGGTCTAATAAGAAGTGTTTATGACTGGCAAGAATGGGGACCTGTCAGGTCAGCTGAGGGACTCCTAACTCAGTATTGCTTCTGTTAAATCATAACAAAGTCACACCTTTTATACATCAAAGAACTTTTTTTTTTAAACTATGAAGTACATTTTCTGAACATATTTAATTTTCTAAGTACCTGCTTTTTATTAAGTGTTAACTATGTATCAAATTCAAATCTTTACTCAGGGTTATATTAACAGTATGGGAATCAAACTTTTAATTTTACTCAGTAAGATAAAGGTTTTATGTACTTGACTTTAACAGGTGCAATAAAAGTTATTAAATTGAGCTTCATCATATGCTTCTCTTACCCTTTATATTATTTTGTTTTTTAATTCATTAAATTTTAATTGTAATATTTGGCTATTCCCATAAGGTATTACCACTGTTAGTGCAAACCACCACCGAATCACCCATAGCCCATCAGCATCGTCCATTGTGCTTCTTTCTCTCCTTGTTCTTACCCCTCTTACAGCCTAAACTTTGGTGTCAGTTCTGTAGTTAGGTATCCAGGCATGGTTTTTCACCTTGCCTTTATTTGACTATTAATTTAGTGATTTTGCATTCCACATATTAGAATACCACCTGGTATCTCTCTCTCTCATTCTGACTTATCTCACTTTGTATCACCCCAGCTCCATCCATGTTACTACGAATGGCATGAGTTAATCATTTTTTATCAATGAATAATATTCCATTGTGTATATATATATATATATACCCCATCTTCTTGATCCACTTATCTCTTTTGGGGCACATAGTTTGTTTCCATAGTTTAGCTATAGTTAAATAGCACTGTGATAAACATAGGTGTGCAAGTTTCCTTTTGATTTAGTGCTTTTGAATTTTTGGGTAGATACCCAGGAATAGAATTACTGGGTCAAATAGCAGATCCATTTTTAATGTTTTGTGATACTTCCATACTGCTTTCCATAAGAGCTGGGCCAGTAGTGTAGAAGTGTTCCCTTTTCTCCACATCTTCACCAGGACTTGTTTAGGTTTTTTCTTTAAGGGTCATTCACACAGGTGTGAGATTGTATCTCGTTGTGGTCTTGATTTGCATTTCTCTAATAAATGATGGTGAACTTTTTTTCCATGTGCCTGTTTGCAGTCTGAATGTCTTCTTTGGTGAAGCATCTATTTAGTTCTTCTGCCCATTTTTTGATTGGGTAATTTGTTTTGTTTCTTAGAGTTTTATGAGTTCTTTGTCTATCTTTGATATCAGTCTTTGTTAGATGTATGGTGGGCACATATTCAGCAGGATGTCTTTCATTTTAATTATGGTTTCTTTCACTGTGCAGAAGCTTTTTAGTTGATGTAGCCCCAGTTGTTGATGTTCTCTTTTGTTTTCCTTGCTGTTAGGGATAAATCCCCAAAGGCATCACTAAAGCTTATGTTGTGAAATGGAATGATAATTTTAGGTTGTATAGATTACCTTCTATGTGAGTTACTTGAATATATACATATTGATCTAGAATTATGTGTGAACTTAAAGATGGGATTTTATTAGTTTTTCATTGCTGCATAAAAAATAATCTCAAACTTTTCTTAAAATAACACACATGATCTGCTTTTGTGAGTCAGTCAAGGTGAACTAACCCATCTCTGCTCAGGTAGGACAAAAATAGCATCAAGGTGTTAGCCAGGCTGAGCTCTTACAGGAGGCCTGTGGGAAGAATCCATTTCCAAGTTCCTTCAAGTTGTTGACAGAATGCATTTCTTTTGTGGTTATAGAACTTGAATTTCCGTTTCATTGCTGGCTGCTGGGGAGAGGGGTCTTTTTGTTCCTGCAGGGTACCTGCATTCTTCTCTGTTCGTACATAATTCTCACCATTTCTAACTTTGCAGGAGTACTATGAATACTTCTTGTACAGTGAATCTTTCTGATTTCTTCAGCTGCCTTTTTCTGCCTTTTAAATAGTGGTATATGTAATTAGATCAGGCTCACCCCTATAATCTCAAATTTTGAGGGCAACTGATTTGAGTCTTAAACAACAGCAAAGTCCCTTCACAACAGCGCGTAGATTAGTGTTTGACTGAATAACTAGACAATGGTTATTTGGAGAATGGGGGGAGAGAAGACAGTTCTTGGAAATCTTCCTGCACATAGTCATATTTTGTGTATTGGGGCCATGTTAACCTATATAAAATCCTAATCCGATAATTTCTCTACATTTCTGTATAGATTTTACTCTGTTTCAGGAATGTAAAAAAACATTTTTTTAATGAAAACCAACCCATTACCCCTCTACTCCCATCAGCCCACCCTCCCACCCCAACAGTTAACACATCCTTGTAGTTCTTAGGCAACTCAGAATATTTCTTTTATTTTTCTGAGGAAAAATTTTGCCTCTGAATGTGCTAACCCATAAGATCAACAACAACAAAATAAAACAATTGGGAGATGACAGGGCTCTAATTTGGGATTACAACTAATTTGGAAGGAGAAGCAAAGATATTAATGCTTGCAAACATGTTCCAGACATATTATCATGCCCCCAGTTTGAACTCTCTGTATCAACTCTAAATCATGTCAGCTTTACAATGTGCTTTTGTTATGAATCCTCTATTAAAGTGCCAATGCCATTCAATGGACACTCTTTATAAGTGCTGACTGCTTTGTGTTTTTACCAATTCAAGGTATCCTGTTAGAGCTTAGATGTCATAGTTGTGAATAAATGGCTTCCTTGCTCTTTCTCTTTTCAATCTGCCATGAAACTGGCAATCAAACAAGGCTGGTTCTGCAGGGTAACTCCTCATCCTGGTAAGTGTGAAGAACCCCTAAAGAGACCCTGACCTATAAGTCCAGGGCTAAATGGGGAGGAAATGACTTACTGACATCTGTTAGCACATGGAGACCTGAAATGGCTCCCCATTCCTTCCTTATGCACTAATCAGACAGCCCTTTACTCTCTCCTATTGATACTGTTTATTTCTGTCTCAGGATCCCTACTGCAAGTGTCCCCTGCCTGAATACTTCCTTCCTACTTCTTTCAACTTATACATTCTTGATTCATTTTCTCTAATAGACGCTTACTCAGGCTACTTTTTCTTGTGTCAGTTTTGGTAATTTGTATCTTCCAAGGAACTGGTCCATTTCTTCTGCAGACAACTTTGTGGTAATTGTTGTTCATGGTATGTAGCATTATTTTATTATGGTAATGTTAATGGATCATTCCCAATACTGGTGATTAGATTCTTCTCTATTTCTTGCTGACAAATAAAAACAAATCCAGATTTAGTTCAGGAGAGATTGTATTGAAAAGACTATTACATTCCTCATTTCCAAACACAGGATCTGCAAGTGTCTCAATCAAACAGATAAAAAAAAAAAAGTTTTCCTTTTATAAAGAGGGGTAAGTAGGACTAGCAGGAACATTGGAAGGAAAATTGAGTAGGAGGGAACAGTCTGCATCACTAAGGTGGTCTGACAGAAAATGTTTCTGTTTCTCACTGTGTTCAGCTGATTATCAGGATGAATTGCTAAAAGGGATGGCCTGTGTTTTAAGCCTTTCCTCAGACCAGGGAGGAGGCCAGCATTCAGGGGGTATGAAGAGGAGGGAAACCTGCCCCACGATGGGCTCAACCAATGGAAATGATACTTTATGGACCATTGTGAGTACTTGGCCAGCCTGGCCAGAGGTTTATTGATTTTACTGATCCTTTCAAGGAAGCAGCTTTTGTTTCATTGATTCTATTTTCCTGTTTCCAAGATCATTCATTGACTTTTGCTCCAATTTCAATTATCTTTTTCTTCTTGTTGCTATAGGCTTATATTGTTTTTTCTCTTCTTAGTTAGCATCTTTTGTAATATAAGATCTTTCCTCTTTTCTAATGTCTGCATCTAGTGCTATAAATTTCCATCCAATGATTGCTTTTGCTGCATCCCACAGACTTTAAATTTTATTTCCATTTTCATTTAACCCCAAATATTTTAAAAATTATTTTCTTAAGACTTCTTTTTTGACCTATATGTTAAGTAAAAGTATATGTTTAATCTCCAATCGTGAAGATTTTCTGGTTATCTCACTGTTGCTAGTTTCTAGTTTAAGTCCACTGTGGCATGAGTACAAAGTCTAGGCTGTTTGTATTTCTAAAGATTTGTTAAGGCCTTTATTTATTTACTTACTTATTAACTAATTAATCTATTTACTTAGAATACCATCTATCTTTGTGAATGTTCTAAGTAAGCTTGAGGAGAGTGTGTATCCAGCTAGTGTTGGAAGGAATATTCTGTAAATATCAATAGATCAAGTGAATAGACAATGCCATTCAGGTTAACTATATCCATACTGACCACACTATTGTTTTGTTGGCTTGAATTATCAAATACTGATAAAGTGTGCTAAAGTAACCACCAAAATAGTAGATGTGTTATTTTCTCCTTGCAGTTCTGTCAGTGCTTGACTGATGTTTTTTGACCCTGTACATGTTTACGTCAGTTATGTCTTCTTGGAAAAGCAATGATTATTTATCCCTGATAATTTTCCTTGTTATCGCTTTCTCTGAAATTGATACAATTTTTCCAGCTTTCTTTTGATTAATATTTTTTCTTTACTTTTACTTTTTCCTATGTTGATAATTTTTTTGAAGTAGATTTCTCGTAGGCCACATAGCTTTTGTTTTGTTTTGTTTTTTACATACATGAAAATCTTCGCCCCCTCCCCCACCCCACAAAATATTCATATCCTACTATCTGAGACTAGTGAATATGTTGCATTTCATGACAAAAGGGAATTTGCCAATGTGCTCAAAATCCAGATGGGGAGATTTTTCTGGATTTTCTGGGTAGACCTTACTAATTACAATGAGAAAGGAATGAAGAGAGAGAGAGAAAGAGTGATGTAACATGAGGATTCCATTAGCCATCTCTTGTGTTAAAGATGGAAGAAGGAATCCAGGAGTCAGGAATGCCCATACATCTAGGAAGTAGAAAAGACAAGGAAATAAATAAATTCTACTAAGGGTCTGCAGAGAGTGACAAAGCCCTACTGACACCTTGATTTTAACTCAGAGAGACCATCTCAAATTTCTGACCTGTAGAATTGTGGGATGATAAATTTATTTGTTAAACTCTTTAACTTTGTGGTCATTTGTTATGGTAGCAATAGGGACCTAAAAGTCTTGGATTTCAGGATGGAACCCAGCCTAAATCTGTCCAGTATACACCATCCTGACCTTGACTTCTATACTTGTTGTGCTAATAAACTCTCCTTATTATTCTTAACTCTTCTGTTTCATGTATAGTACTTAGTATGCATGACATAGGATTAGTGTAAGTTCTGCTGATGTCATTTTTCATCAAGTCCCATCTAGCAAGATTAATACTTGGTCTTTTTAAGATTTATTTTTATTTATTGATGCATACAAGAACTGGAGTGTAGGCCAGATGTGCTGGGGAGGGTGGTGGTGAGAGGATTCACCAAAGGCAGAGTGGGTAGCAGAACAGGTGGAAATACACTGCTGAGGGGACAGTGAGTAAGACAGTAGAGGTCTGCTGGGCCATGTGGGTCAGCTCCCTGGGCAGGATGTCAAACTCATGCTGCCATGGCAGCCAATAGCTTACAATGCTGAGACTTAACCCCTTGCACCACCAGAGTGCAATATTTGTTTTTAATTGTTTACAGATTTTATCTGGAAATATAAAAAAAATCAATTTTATCGTGAAGAAACACTATAATTGATGTTAGATAATCACAGATTCTGATTCTATTTTATTTAACATAACACCTCAGTTTCCTCATCTCTAAAATAAAAATAAAAAGTCTGATGTTTGGGAATATTTTAAGTTTTAAAGACAGAAGCATGTAAATTGCTTGCTACTAAGTATGTGTTTAGATATTAGATATTCTCAGTAGTTGTTTTTTTTAAATAGAAACAAAATAAACTTGACACTTATGACCATGAAATTTTCATTTGTGTAGTTTTATTTAAAAAATTAGTGGGGGACAAGGATTAAGTTTATAGCTAACATTTTTTTCAGTGATTATACACAAACACTGTAATTCTTGAGTGTCAACAGTCTTATCCACTAGAGAATTTAGTGTTCAATTATATATAAGCAAATTTGACACTTGTACAGACATCACTCATTTCCATGGCCTGAAAAATAACAATTAAATTGTTTTCCCCTCATTTAGCTCATACTCATTAGCTAATTGGACATGCATTACGTTATTTCACAACTCATTCCTGTCAAAAACAGGCAGTTCGTATGATCATTTTTATTTTATTGTATTTTTGGACTACTAAGCATGTGACATTTACAAAATGGATTTTGTTTTCATAACATGAAGAAAAATGTTTTCATTAATTTGTGTTGTGTTGTGGGATTTTGAAAATAATGTAATTACCTATAATTGATATGAGTTATTGACAATTCTAAGAATAGATGTACAATGAAGGTATAGTTTCACTGTTTAAAATCAATAGCATTGGGCTTCCCTGGTGGCACAAGGGGTTAAGAAGCAACCTATAAATCTACCTGCAGCCCCTACAGCATAAGTTTTGTCCCTGGCCAGGGAGCAACCCACATGGCGCAGCAGACCTCTCCTGACTCACCTGCTGCTCCCCTAAGCAGTGTATTTCAGGCACTCCACCTGTTCTGTTTCCCAATCTGCCTCTGGTGGATCTTCTCACCACCCCCTCACATCTCTTGCCTGTACCCCAGTTTTCTTGTATGCATAAATAAATAAATCTTAAAAAAATTAAAAAATAAAATCACTAGCATTTCAAATGTAAGTCATTGTATAGCTATATCTATACCACAAATAAGTTCATATTCATACACACATATCCTTTGTACAATATATATGTAAATATCATAAATGCTTGATTATATATATGATATATATATTCATATATGTATTAAATTTATAAATACTTTTTTTTTAATTCTTTAGATGCTGTGCAGTTGAAGAAAAGTGGTTACTTTGACCCAACACTCCAGTTTGTTTTTTGGTCAGCCATATTGGGAGCATATTCTCTGTGGGTCTATCATGTTTTAATCTAATTTAGTCTAATAAATGCCAGGTTTCCCTTCGTGGCAGATTTTGTGCACATGGGCTTGAAATCCATTATAAAATATTTGATTCCAAAAACCTGATGTTTCTCTCCTCTAACACTTTGTATATACATGGTTGTCTCGGTCTCTTCGTGTTTTGCTTAGGGATTGGGCCTTGGAAAAACTGAACAAAAATGATGGCTTGAATCTATGTTTCTCTTATTTCCATGAGTAATAAAATTTCTTTTGATTCTAACACAAGACTCATGTTTTCTGTCAGAATCCATAGAATCATGGGAGACTAACTTGTTTGTAAATAGACTAAAATCTCAGACACACTACAGTACCCATTTCATTCCAACAGAATGAAATATTAGTAAATATTTTAAGTGCTTTGTGTCAGCAAAATAAATTATATATATGCTTACTTTCAAGAAGTTTAGAAATATGATTTTAACACCTATGTAAAAGTGGCTCAGTGTCCTGGAACTAGTACTGAGCTTGTTATGAAGACTGGGTCATATTTCAGCATCTCTAATACTGCAGTTTGGGAACTGACCAAATTTCCTTTTGTTCGATAAGTTCCTCATATATTAACTCATTTATTGGTCACAAATGCAAAGTGCAAGCTTTAACTGCATGCTTCTTTATAAATCAACATTTACTTTCTCTAGTATTCCTAATTTGTGCAATTCTAGTGTTGCCTTGCATGCTCTCTCCATGGGAAGTGTGAAGGAAGTAGACATAACACTATTACCAGTAGTTTCTTGAACTTTCTGCTTTGAACGTCATAGTTACACTGTTATAAATATTTGTGCAAAGCCATAGAGCTATATATTTAAATTATAAATTTTATCATATGTAAACTGACCATTACAAAAACGGAGAACATTTTTAACTTAGTATTTGAAAGAAGGGCTTTATTTTCTATGACCCCTCAGTTTCCGAAGATCTCTCAGTTTTTATACAAGTTCCAAGGGTAGAAAGTAATCATCCATTGGGTACAGTAATATATAACTTACTATGAATTTTTCCCTGATTTTTTTTATGAAAATAAATTTTACTTGGTGGAAAAAGAAAGAGTATAAGGAACTATGACTAGCAATAAAGCTAAGAATGAGAGAAAGGCAGATTGTAGAGAAAGTAAAGTCCTTGACAACTTTGAAATTTCTTCCAATGCAGTTTTGATTTAATCTTTCAATTCTGTTGAGTTGTCAATATATCATAGACAATGAAAATGAGAGTCGTGGAGCAGGCTACACAATGCAGGATGCTGCTGAGAGAGAAGCTCCAGGTTTTTTATTGATAGAATAATTATACGGTATCAATTACACAGGGTAGGATGACAAAGAGAAACAGGGTGGGTGAAACTGAAAATGTGCTTATCTTATGTAGGGTTTGGGAGAGGGGTGAGTCTGCTGACCAATATTGATAACCCAGCATTATATTGGAAATCAGACCCCAGATCCCTACCCCTGGTTCCAGTCTCATTATCGACAAGGCTTTCTCCTGATGAGCTTCTGGGACTCCTAGTTATACATCAGTCAATAGCCCCCCAATGTGTTCCCGGGCATACCTCACAATGGATGACTTTGCCCCAGGTGATCAAGCTTCTGCTCCTGATTGATTGGAAAGCACCTTGTAGGGTTGGGCTACATTCTTTTAGGTCCAATAACTGGCCAGGCAGTTGTGACCTTGTATTTGAATGCAGAACTACACATAACCAAAATGGTGGTGGAACAGGCCATTGAAGTCTAGCAGACCATACAATTTATGATTCTCCCCTCTGATTAGAGAACATCAACAGCTGCTTCTGCTCAGCACATCATTCATGTAAAAACATTTCCTTTACTTTTGGTCATTTAGTCTTTTTTTTTAAACCAGTTCATTGGCTTTACGTCATTAACTAATCAAAACAAATTCAGAGAACTGTGATGAACTGTCTTATATTTATATAATTTTCAGAATGATTTACATTTAAGTTGCCACCCTGAAAAACAATAGCTAATAGTAAATGTCAACCTAGGCTTATTGCTACATAATGAGATCCATGAAGAGTTAGATGATTATTAGGAATAGAATTATCTATTTTATAAGTATCTTCATCATCATCATCATCTACATTTTTATTGCATAGTGTTTGACATACATTATATAGAAACTCAAGAAATATTTTCCTTTATGTTAACCTTCTCTAGCCACAATGAAAATTATGGACTATATTATTCTGTTGGAATTTAAGTTGCATGTCTCCACTGTTTTAGTCAGTTCAGGATGACATGGGGCACAAAATATCTAGTTTCCATTTAAGACCAGCCATACAGACAACTAAGGATCAAGGATTTCAAAATTATACTGTGCTAGGGCTATATAGAAAGGATCAAATGTACTCTAGTGATATATTTGTCCATAACAATCAGATAAAAAGAATGAAAGCCAAAGGTGACGCTCAAAATATTTTAGGATAAAATTTATGGAGTTTAGCTATGGAAAGTGAATGTAGGTTTTATAATGAAGTGTTTCTCAACAGTTTTGGAAGTATAGAACAAGGGCGTCTAAGATTAATAAATGGGCAGAAGCATGTCTATGGGACATTGCAAAAGCCCCCTTATTTTTAGGTATTGTAGAATTCAGGAAAAGGGGTGCATATAAAGATGCAGAGACAGGTGTTTCACAGAGGAAACATAAACTTTGCTCAAGAGGACCCTCAGAGGGTGGCGGAGAGGCTGCTGCTGCTGCTCACTGTACAGTCAGTCCTATATAGCATCCATTTTGCGATTGATGAAGCTGAGAACTAAAGTTTTTGGTTGACTTTTTGAAAATCACAAGATTGGGAACTGGGTCAAAGCTCTCTGATCCTAGGGCTTAATGGGCTAATGCTTTGTTTTTGCCTTATACTTTATAGCTCTAATGATGTAAAGGATGGCATGTTCACCATCCAGTTGTCTAATCCCTCTTGCTTCTTCCAACTTTGTTTTTTTAATTAGCACCTCATTAGATTCAGAAAAGCAGAGCCCAATTCCAACTCCAGGGAGTAGGAAAATAAGCTAAACCAGGTGGACCTGAGGAAAGGTGGTGGTTCCTTCATTCTCTTCTTAGTCATCCATCCCCGGACAACCTTTCTTTTTCTTCTCTCCTCCGTTTCCTTCTCTTCCTCTCTCTTTGCCCTGCCTTTCCTTTTTTTTTTTTTAAACTTACTATTGCCTTATTTCTTGTATAAAGTAACATCAAGAATATTTTTGAAGGTTAAGGTAACTAAAAATAAAACATCTGCATGTAAGTGAGTCTAAATGCCCAGGAACATAAAAAAGGAAGTCAGTTGTTGACTTAAACTTTGAGACAGTGTGAAGGAGCATTTGACCTTCTTGTCCTTTTTTTTTTTTTTTTTTTTTTTTAACTGCAGTAACATTGGTATGTTTTAGGGGAATGGTTCGCACCTTATCATAGGTATGTTACAAGCACCACCACCCCCGCCCCAACTAGAATGTGAGCACTCATAGTCCTTTACCCTGGACCATTGGAACCCTTTTTTTCTTTATCACCACCCTCTTCCTATTTCACCTTCTAGTAATCTCAAGTCTGAAGTCATTATTTCTAGAGTTTATTTAGGTTTAGCTTTATAGTGCCTTTGTTTTTATGTTTTAATCTATGTCCCCAATAGGAGCAAAATAATCTGGTATATGTCTTTCTCCTTCTAACTTATTTCACTTAATGAACTCCAAGATTTTTAAGCACTGACTGGCATTTTCTTCTCTTCCTGATCCATAAGTCATCAAAAGTTTCTAGGCTCCTATTATTGTCCATTGTCAGAATGCAAAGAAAATCATCTCTTTCCTCTCTGGCATCTACATAGAAGAAACCACAAGGAAGGGGATAAGCAGGTCCCAGAAAGGTGAGTCAAGAGAGTCCCAAATTCAAAATGCACCATACACTCCACCATGAGGTCAAGATAATGGCTGCCGTTTTCTCTGACAAAATGCTTGACTGGATTGTTTATTTTTTTTGTTGTTGAGCCATGTGAGTTCTTTGCATATCTTTGTGATCAGCCCCTTATCAGTTGACTGGGGTGCAAAGATTTTTTCCCAATCAGTGGGGTGTCTCTGTGTTTTGGTTAATGGTGCTTATCTTTTTCTTGATTTTCTTTGCTTTGGGTGATGAGTCTTTAAAGATGTTATTGTGATGTATGTCTTGTAGTGTTTTAGAGCCATCCTGCAGGGTAGGAGGAGGGAGAGGGATCATAGGGAGGGAGGGAGGAGCACAGGGGACTGAGGTGATGGTGCACGGGTGCACTGGGGAAGGAAACTCTATGGGGACTACACCTGAGGGGGTGGGGGAAGCAAATATGGTTTAAAAATGAACATGGATCTCCCCGGTGGCGCAGCGGGTTGAGCGCAGCACTGTGAAGCTGTCCACAGGCTCTGCAGTGCCTGTTCGATTTCTGGCCAGCCAGGGAGATGCCCACATGGCGAGGCAGACCTCTCCTACCTCGTCCGCTGCTCCCCTCAGCAGTGTATTTCGGTCCTTCTGCCTGTTCTGTTCTCCACTCTGTCTCTGGTGAATCATCTCACCCCCCACACCTCTGGCCTGAACCCCGGTTCTTGCATAAATAAATAAAATCTTCAAGAAAAATAAAAAATTTAAAAAATGAATAATGATGCAAAAAAATATTTAAAAAAGACTGTATCATGATTCAGTTAAAAAAAAAAAAAAATGCCAGGCATCCTAAATGGCGCAGCCGTTGAGCACTGGGATGTGAAGCTACCTGAAGCCTCTGCAGCGCCGGTTCAATCCCCGGCCACCGGCGAGGGTCCCACATGGTGCACAGATCTCTCCTGCTGCACCCACTGCTCCCCTCAGCAGTGTACCTCGTCATTCTGCCTGTTCTGTTCCCTGCTCTGGCTCTGGTGAATTCTCTCACCCTCCCACACTTCTGACTGTACCTAGTGCTTGCATAAATAAATAAATAAATAAATCTCTAAAAAAAAATGCCAAAGCTGCCACGGATCAGGAACAACCTTTCCCTGTCTCTCTCACACATATGTCTCTCCTCCCAGGTGTCTGTCATCCACATGTCTA